AAAACACCCTCTTGAGAGACTGGTATCGCGGTCTCTCTCCTCTCTTTTCGTTTTCACGTAGAAGCCGGTAAATTTATTTTGAGCTGAAAAAGTTGAAAACCAGATTCAGAATCCCTTTACAAGAGAGAGAGAGAGGTCGTGCAATGTAAATCTCCTCCCAGTATATGACGGACCCTAGGACAGCAGCATTGATGGTTCTTTTCTTCTTTTTTTTTTTTAATCAGTTCTGAGTCCGTCTGACGACCGGCATGGATCCACTTTTGTACACCGTGTCATGGCTGTAGTGGTTAAGAAACTCGGCTCTTGAAGCTGAGGGCGCCGGTTCGAACCCGTGCGTGCACGGACGGAGGAGGTCCTGCGGCTGATTAAAGTACAGACTGACTGTCTTAGCGAAAACGTACGAGTTTTTTTTTTTTTTTTTTTCACTTTTTTGTTTGTTTTTGCCCAAATGTACACAGTACAATATCTCGGCCATATACATAAAGATTGAACCTTACCACAACCGATTGAGTGAGCGTTACCACAAATCGTTGATGGATATCATGAATCTTCGGTTAATACGGTTATCCATTTGATTTATTGAATCCATCATCATTTTTTAATGACCGAAAGATCAAATGTGGACCGTCGTGCGACCATTTGACATTAACATGTTTTTATTTTGTTTTTGCCATTCCTGTCGGCAGGCTCTCTTCATGATCGTCCTTCAAGCCCGCTCACTATTGCGGTATTACCCCTCACAGCCTGCTTGCTAGCCTGATTTGACGAACCCTGTCCTTGGCACTATTGTCGCTATTACAGTACTACCCCTCCCGCCCTGCTCGCTAGCCTGATTTTACGATCCCTGTCCTTGGCACTATTGTCCGCCGGTACCATCGATAGAGTTGTGTGTACTGTGGTGTGGTCTCCTCCTCTCTTTCTCTCTCTTATCAGTTAGCCCAACTGGGTTATGCTGGATCAAGGTTGGGTTGCACCCAGCCAGGTTGGATGATGCTAGGCCATGTTGGGTTACACTGAACCAGGTTGGGTTATGCTGGACCAACGTTGGGTTACAATGGACCCAGGTTAGGTTACACAGGACCAGGTTGGGTTACAATGGACCAGGTTGGATTACGCTGGACCAGATTGGACTTACATTGGGCTGGCTTGGGCTACACTGGACCAGGTTGGGTTATGCTGGACCCAGGTCCGGTTATGCTGGACCCAGGTCCGGTTATGCTGGAGTCAGGGATTGGGCTACACGCTGAACCACGCTGGATAATGATGGACCAGGTTGGGTCACACTGGACCAGGTTGGCTTACGCGGGACCCAGGTTGGTCTACACTGCATCCGGGTTGTGTTACACTTACACTGAACCAGGTTGGGTTGTGCTGGACCAGGTTGGGTTACACTGGACCAGGTTGGGTTACACTGGACCAGGTTGGGTTACGCTGAACCCAGGTTGGTTTACACTGCACCCAGGTTGGGTTGGGTTACACTGGACACTGGATCAGGTTGGGTTGTGCTGGACATGCGGCGGTGCCTTATCAGCTGACATGCTCATACAGACTGACAGCTACTGGGCCCTCGTCTCGACGTCTTTTGCTTCTGCCGACATGCGTCGGTGCCTTATCAGCTGACCTGCTGATACAGACTGCCAGCTACCGGGCCCTCGTTTCGATGTCAGAGGTTCTCTGAATGTGGTCGTCTTTTATCTGCTCTCTGCTCACCTTGTGATAGGTTGACACTCTAGGCTGAATGCTGCCTGGGCTTTTTTGTTGCTGCTTTTGTGAAGAGAGAGAGAGAGAGAGAGAGAGAGAGAGAGAGAGAGAGAGAGAGAGAGAGAGAGAGAGAGAGAGAGAGAGGTGCCAAAGATGACACACTGAAACTGACGCCAATTATCCGCTGCATTTTGTTGGCGATAGCGCACAAGGTTATTGTGCATGCGAAAAAGTTTCAAGTTGGAGGGCGATTGCGAGAATTCACCTTTTTTTTTTTTTTTTTTTTAACAAACAAAATCGTTTCAATTTTAAAACTGTCTGTCTGCAATTTTAGAGATGACCTGCTCCCTCCTAAATTTGTGGACAGACAGTTGGGCGTGGTAGCTTCTTGCAATTCTCCTCTCTTGTTACAGTGAGCATATTTAATTTCTTTCTTTTTTTCAGATACAAGGCTTCTTTCTGGTAAGCTACTTCTGACCAGCGTTTTCTTTATTTCTTTATTTATTTATTGTTCTGAATTTCACCTTCATCTCATGGTTACTTTGGCCCGTATTTCAAAAGCCATCTTGTCTGACTTTTGTTTTTTCCAAGAAATTAAAAATTTTGAAAATTAAGAAAAAAATGCAAGTATGTGGTTCTGCTCCTCGATGATAGCTTCGTGCAGACCTGTTACTGTGGCCGTATTTATGGACTCTGCGAAGT